CTTCGATCAGCATCCGTCATATAGCTAGCTCGATTGCCGTCAAGGTTGTCCATATTCTGAGCGTCCAACATGCCCTCTGCTCTGGCCCTGGCGGCGACAGCAATCGCCGCCATCTATTCCTTCCTCCGTGCCCTCGTCTATCTCAGGCATGATCCCCGAGAGCCCAAGCCCATCTTTGGCGCCATCCCCTATCTCAGTCCCCTCTTCGGCGTGCTGATCGAACAGGACAAGTTCTATAAGCGAATGAGGTACAGCCCAAAGCTCATGTCGCCCCCGCAGGCTGTTGTTGCTGATATGAGCTGAGCAGAGACGAGACCCATCTGCCCATTTACACGCTGAACATACCGGGCGTACCTGTGTACATTGTCAATTCGCTTGAGGTGCTCCAGCGCGTCGACCGCCACATTGATACCCTCCCTTTCGCCCCTATGAAAGCCCAGACATGCAAGAATGTCTGCAGCGTCAGTCAAGCTGGTATCAGCAAGATCTATGGGAATAACCTCTTGGCGCAGGACGGCTACCTGCACAATCACCAACGCGCCTCCGCCCAAGCCGGCGCACCGGGTGCCAGTCTGAATGCTCTCTCACGGTCAGCAAGCAAGGTATTTGCCGCTGCTTTCGATGGAGTCGAGGCACGAGGCCGCACGGCCGTGGATCTGTACGAATTCATCCACGACGCAACATTCAACGCCACAACGGATGCCATGTACGGTCCCCACAACCCCTTCCGTGCCGAGGAGAACCGCAATGACTGGGCCATCTTCGAAGCCGGACTGCCAATGCTGTTCCTCGGCTTTCTGCCCAACATCCTGGCGAGAAGGGCGTGCAAGGCAAGGCAACGCTTAGTAGCAGCTTTCAACGACTACTTCGGCAGCGACAAACACCTGGATGGTGGCTCCCTTTTTGTCCAGCTCACGAACAAAGTCAACGACAGCATCGGCTTGAGCCTAGTGGACAAGGCCCGGATAGAGGTCGGTCAGGTAGCCGCAGCGACTTTCAACACGGCACCGGGTGCGTATTGGTGTGTCTGGGCCATTCTGTCCGATCCCGTCGTGTTCAAGGACTGCAGGGAAGAAGTCATGCGGCTGGTGGACGAGGTAGATGGTACGCACACCATCGACCTCGCGCGCGTGAGGACGGAATGCCCCCTGCTCGTGTCGACCCTGCAGGAAGTAATGAGGTTCTACGGCACAGCTGCCTCGCTGCGCTTCGTGTACGAAGACACCATGATCGGCGACGAGTACCTACTGAAGAAGGGCGGCGCCGTGCTCATGCCCAATGCCATATTCCACACCGACAAGACACTTTGGGGCCCTTCGGCGGGCGAGTTCGATCACACGCGCTTCTTGAAGGCGGGCCATCGCAAGTCCAGCACCAAACACCCGGCTGCCGCGTTTCGGGGCTTCGGCGGCGGCCATGTCCTCTGTCCGGGGCGGCATCTGGCTAGTACCGAGATGCTGGCCCTAATGGCCTTAATCCTTGTGCGTGTCGATGTCGTCCCCCCTGGGGGTGAGTGGCCAGCGGCATCGATTGGTCTGTCGCCCGGCAGAGCATTACCTCTGCCGAGTAAGCGGATGCTCGTTGACTTCATCCCCAGGGCCACTGGCAAGTGGCGGGTGATATTCACTGATAAAGACAATAGCGGTTTGAACCTCGTAGCGGAAGATATACACAGTACAAACAGCTGAAATGACACAGTCTGTCTTCATTCGATTTAGGCTGGGTGGTACGTCGACGTACCGCGCAATGTCTTCCGCGTCGGAGACATCAACTTTTGAAAGATTGAAACATATATGCTGCATTGTCTTTGTTTCTAGGAAATATCGGGATGAAGCGAATGGAAAAGGAGGGGGGGGAACAGGCAAACGCGGAAGAGACGCGGATGCGTGCTGACTAATCACATTGGTACTGCTGCTTGCTGCGAAGGAATAAACCCCTATAACGTTGGGTTAGAGGGGGGAATGAAGTGTAGAGCAGCATCGCTTAAAAGCGATAGATGAATTACTGGTACGTCGAATACATTGACGTGACCTGGGCTTCCTGGCGGGATGAACCTATGATATTACCTTCGCCATATACTAGGTAAGGAGCTGTCAGGGGGGAAAGTGGGACTTTGATAGGGGTCTGTCATCCAGTAAGGATTGCCCATCCTACTCAGTCTATAAGTCTGCCAGTTAATGCTTCTGCGGATTCATAAATGTCGAGCTATCTCCAGTCTCCATCTCGTTAAGCACTGTGCCAAATAAGAAAGGACTAAAAAGAAACCACTATAGCAAATCCCTCCTTGGACATCACCCATCGCCGCTGTGTAAGAATTCTCGAGCCGGAATAACGCGCTGCCAGGCAAGGGCTAGCAGCTTGCTCCAGATAATCGAAAGGCGACCATCAGTCGGAAAGATGCCGAGCCGAAGGAAAGGGACAGTGAAATCCGTGAACGTGGAGGCAGCATCGACACACTAGGGCACGAAATACTAAGATACACGGCGGTATAAGACGAGAAGGTCATAGGCGTCTTCAGGTAATATATAAGGTACCTTAAGCGTACCTATTTAGAAGGGGATAGCTGGAAGGTGCCGCTCTAAGTATATGCATATTAGAAGTTACAAGGTAGAGCAGCCCGGTTTCATGTGGTCGAGTTGGCTGCGGAAGAGCTCAAACCGGGTATTCGTATCTAGAGCTAATCGTAGTATTGCAGATTCTGTGCAGGACTTCGATGAAAGATCCCTGGTGTCTTTTTATCCATTGTCATAGACCTTTCTCTCGCTTTCTCCGATAACTCTTCGACCTCTCCCCATACCTACACATATTTGCAGAGTTTCGTTGAAACCGACTCTACGACGAACTATCAATGCTATAGATCTATGCCATGATACGCATCTGCTATGGATCTCGAAGAGTACCTAGATACAAAGACGAGAGATTTAACCCTTCTTCCACATTCATGCCAAAGAATATAAATGCCGAGACAATTCCGATCTCTAGATTGAGAGCATGAGATAGATAGGCTACGTAGGCAGGCACGTACTTAATTTTAAAGCAGAAGAAAATGGTTGAAGCGGCCTCGCTTACCGTCGCACAGATAACAAACATGGCGTACAGTCAGCCTATAAAATCTCCGACGTCACTCGGCACTTATTCTTGCCAATGGTATAGAGTCCAGCCAATCCCGAGCGCGGAGATGTAAAGATCAGTTGATGACATGTGGGGCCCAGTATCGCACGTACATAATTCTTGGTGGATATAAATATTATTTTACAACGGCACTCAGCAACCTACTCGTTTTTTCTTTCGTGCGCGTCACGGTTTAAAGGGGCTACGGTAACTGGTCCGAGATCCAGCTGGTACTACGATTTGCCCCTCCAAGTCAGTTCCTCGAGATCCTTGCTCAGAGGACAGTAAAGATGGCTTCCGAATCGGATTCGTCCACTGAGGAGCTCCCAATGCTTCCTGCTGATGTGACAGCTGAGTGGTTAGGGTCCAAGCTGGGACACAAGATCAGTTCCATATCAATGACACGAACCATATTCGGCACGGGCAGCAAGCTGTTCTTCTCTATCGAGTACGCGGACGAAGTTTCTGATCCAACCTCGCGGCCGACACACATCTGTGTGAAGGGTGTATTTGATCCCGCGATGGTTGCAGCTCAGCCATGGACTCTAAGCCTGGCTCAGCGCGAGGCCGAGTTCTTCGCAAGGATTGCACCAGCTATCAAGCACATGGGCTACCCCAGAGGCTGGTGGGGCGGGAAGAATGACAAGCAGGGCATCGCTATCATGTCGGACCTGACGCACGATGGGTGCACATTTCCTTCGGATTCCGCCTCCTATCCGCTTGAAAAGGCCTTGGAGGGTGCTGCCCAGCTGGCCGGTTTGCACGCCCAGTTTTGGGGCAAGAATCAGGAAGATTACCCTTGTAAGGAGAGATCCGAGTTGGAAATGAGCTATGACATGACTAATGGGCATAAAAGGGATTTGGAACAATTACGACCCGGCCATGAAGGTGATTGTCGAGCCGTGGGATAGCGTCGTGAGGGAACCTGGTCGACCAAAACTGCCTGAGTACCTGATGGACGGTGCCCGGGTGAAAAGAGCGCAAGACAAATGCTACGCTAAGCGTAACCCGAAATTCCGCACACTATTGCACGGAGACACGCACCTTGGCAATGTCTACTTCACTGCAGAGGGCCACACACGCTTTCTGGACTGGTCCGCATATCATTTCGCCTCGTGCTTCCACGATCTCGTCTACTTTTTATCTTCCATCCTGACGATCGAGGACCGGCGCGCCCACGAGATGGAAGTGCTCGATCACTACCTGGAGACTTTGCGTCGATTTGGAGGGCCAAAGTTCGATCGTAACGACGAGGAACTCATGATCGAGTACAAGCGCTCGTACTTTTCCAACCTCATCTGGCCGGTCTGCGGGTACGAGCTGCAGAGCAAGGAACGGGTTGATGCCTTTACCGAACGCACCATCGCCGCATGGGTTGACCATAAAGTCCTCGAAGTTATAGAGGCTCAGCCGTAGCAGCCCAAGGTTAGTTTAGGAGAAGGGCTATCTTAGAGATGATCATTACCTACCTACGTATAATTATTAGGATAAATTCCAGGTTATTTCCGTGCGTTAGCTGGCCCGCTGCTCCTTGAGTTCATCATTTGCTTGTGAGTAAGGGAAATAGGAGTCAACATCTATTGATCGTCGATTCTCTTCTAAAGGCGCTGCCTGACACTGCTACCTAGTCGCTAGTCATCTATCCGTAGGGCCGTCAGGGTGGATCGGTATGCGCCGTGATTCCGTGTCAGGTGTTGCAAGTCATAAAACTGTCCTTTATTCCTTCTTTTCCAGCCAAGGAGCTGCTATTGATTTCACACAAGCTGTAGTTAGTTGAATAATTCCCATGTGACTTCGTTTTAACCCACATGCAAAAAGAGGGCTTTATGTACCTAGGTAGGCACGGAAAATTAGACCGCTAAACTAGAGCGACTAGCGACAAAATTGATTGGACGAGCAGGGAGTTGAACCCTGGACTTCTCGCATTTCAGCACCAGGGGGATGCGAAGCGAGCACTCTACCACTGAGTTACACGCCCTTGAAGGGAGACTAGGCGGGTGGGCCGCTCTGTTTGATTGGTGGGAATTTGGCTGCAAGTCATAGTTCATATAGCTACTACAATTGCATGATAGGCTTGGGGATATAGGACTTCAAGAGACGCTAGACTAAGGAGCCGACCTCCCCCCTTTTCGATATGGTCACGCCAAACGAATTTCTCAAACCAAATATTCCGCAGCGCCGAGCCAGTATCTGGGATCGCAGAGTACAATTCTAAGTCATGGCGAGATTGGACCCACGATCTAAAGCGAAGTTAAATTAGTTCCCATATCTCATGGTTATCGAGCTATTTTATCTTTTCTGCCATTATAAAAGTGGTTATGAGGTTTCTTGTAATTGCTAGGGCATAAATTACAAAGAACGCTCAGGGGAATTCCTTTGGCCTGAGATGCGGTTATAACGTTGTTCATCATCGAACTTTGTTATTTGCGCTCTCGATGACCTTGAGACTACAAGCACAATAGCCCGCTTCAATTCTGAATTAACAAGTTCGTAAGTTATTCATTTATGTATCTTACCCTTTATCATCCTGCATTCAGTTTGCGAGAAGTGTTGCCGAAAGCGTCCTTTTTCTTTGTCTCCTATACAGAATGGCCTTGGGGTTCAAGATATAGTTTGGCCCGAATTATACAAGAAAAAGAAGACGTTTAAGCGATCGGGGTTTTTGAGCCCATTCGTTTTTTATAATTAGGCTCCCTGTAAAAGCCAACACTCCGACATTAGCATCAGCCGCACCGACAAAATTGAACACTGCGTTTCCAGTCAGAGTCAAAGGAATCTTCGTAAGTCTTCAAAACGGGAAAATAACACCTGGTTGACGATGTCCCATATCGCCAGTCGCCTGGACCAGCCTATTATGGCACACGAGCTGCTAGATAAGCTTAGCAGAGCGATCGTCGAAGTTAGGGATTGGGGGGAAGTAATGTTAACAAAACAACTGCCCGACGGCACACCCATCACCTGGGGACCGTTCTACGCTGATCGCATAAACGAGGCCATAAGAGACGCGCGAAGGCGACTTCAGCTTGCGGCCAAAGCAGTAGATGAGCTTCGTCAAACGCCAGAAGATGCCGCTCTGGATATCGATCATTCCAACTATCATAGACTTTACTGGAACCAACTCCAGAGCATGCGAGAGCGAATTGAGGAGTGGAAACGCTACCAGAATACTATTCCTGGGCTTGAATGGGATCCTGATGATGAAGGCGAAGACACAGGCAAGGGCACGGGCACGGGCAAAGGTAATGGCAATGGTCGGGGCCAGGGCAAGGGACAGCATCAAAACCAGACTCGACATCAAGTTCAAACTCCACGTCAAGATCAAACTCAACGTCAAGATCAAACTCGACGTCAAGATCAGACTCGACGGCCAGCGCCCCCTTCGAGAGCTTCAGAACCTCCTAGCCCTCCTGGGAATAATAGCGGTGGTGCTCCCGGCGGTGGCGCTCCCGGCGGTGGTCAGGGTGGTAATCCCCCCAGCGACCCCGGTTCCTCCAACTCCTCATCCAACTCCTCAGGCAGTGACCCCCCTGGCCATCCTGGACCCTCAATTCCCACTGGGAATAATCCCCCCGTTTCTCCTCCCCGGCGCCCCTCCGCTGGGTTAGGTGGTCACCAGTACAGGCTTATCGCAGTTGGTAATGGCTTCGCCCGAAGATTACCTAGAAGACGCGCTCGCTACGAACCTCCCAAGGTGCCGAAGGGCAGAGAAATTGCGCGCAAGAGAAGCAAACGCTAGTTAAAAACAGCATCCTCAACTACACCGTTAAAAATGACGCCTTAACACGAGTCAAAGCACAAATATGTGAGGAGTTGCCGGCATCATACCCCCTTGGTGGAAGTTAGGCCCAGTCATTCGACAGCATAGCCTGTTCCGAGTCGCTCTGGACAATGGAGAGTAATGGGCATAGACTTCGTATTGTTTAAACTGTTTAATCTAGCCGGGATACTCTAGAATGATAAATACAACCATACAAGTTGCTGTGACGCTGCATGTCAAGTAATATCTCACTGTCGGTTTTTATTGTAGGCACTTAGTGCTTATGAGTTTAAAAACGTAGTAGAGACTTAGCAGCACGAATAAATTGAGGGTAACATTGTCCTAAATATTGTTCTTGTTCATATCTCATATACTCAAGCATAATGAACTTAACGTCTTGCTGCTCTAACCTAGGCTCAGCAGAGCAGGTGACTAGAATGATGTCTCTTGGTTGTTCTTGTATTTGGTGAAATACTCCATGGCTTCTTGTTGATGGGCCTCCATGTCCAATTCGAGAATAAAGTTCCACCTTGTCGAAATCTCGGCTCTCAACTCAGCGACATCCAGCCCAAACTCACCGCAGAAAAGAAGTCCGGTCTCTCGACTTGTATCAACGACTTTCTGGCACCGTGGCCGGCGTATCATGTCGTATGCTTTGAAAGCCGCCGTGATTTCTTTAGGAGACGAGAGATTAGCGAAAAGCGCACCAAGAGCCATAGCATCCTCGATGGCTATTCCGGCACCAGCACCCATCCACGGTGTAGACGCGTGAGCTGCATCTCCCATGAGACAAACGCGATCTTCAAAATAAGTAGGTGTCGTCTTGTGCTCCCATTGAGAGTACTTGTAGGTATCAGGTTGGTTTAATGTGAGCTAGGATAGTTTTAGCATCCACTTGATGATGGGAAGAGACATTTGAGAGGAAACTAACATCCATCATCCCACGGGCAATTGGGCCATCGAGCCACGTATTCAGTGTTTGCTTCAGGTCCTCTAATGTCAGGATGGATTTTCTAGACTCGGTAAAGGACTGTTGCTTGTCAATCGCAGACACTATGCACTGGACCATAGTTCTGTCTTCTAATATGTCGTGCATAATGAACGCTCCATCACCAATCCAGGAGTATCGTCGATCATCCTCGAAGAACTCCTCACCCAACGTGGATTTCGCTTTATCCAGCGGGACTAAGTTCCGGCAGTCCCAGAACCCTGCTGGAGAAGGCCCGTAGTCCTCTCCGGGGGCGGTATCTCGAAAGACATGTTGTCGAACAAAACTGAAGATACCATCGGCACCAATAACAGCATCAAAATCGTACAGAGTCCCATCTTTGAAGGCGAGTTCAACACCAGAGGCTTTGGCATTGATGGCAATAAGCTGTTTGTTGGGGTGCAGAATTTCCTTCGGCAAAGGGCTGAGCAGCTCACGAAGGAGTGATGCCCGGTGGACGCACACGCCTGTCTTCAAGTCGAAGATAACCGTCCCAGCGTCTTTCCCTGACCCCTATGAGATGTTAATTAACATTATACATTTTATTGACAATTATTTTCCCGCTTACCAAGATAATCCGAGAACTGTTCATGGGAACAGCGCCGGCTTTTTGAAGCACGCCTTTGTCAGGGGGAATAATTGCATTCAAAGCTCGCTGAGCATTGACGGAAAGCCCGACAGCAGCACCGCGCTCCGATAATTCGGGAGCGGACTCAAAAACATGGACGTCTACATGAGGGAGGTGGAAAAGGGCGTTCGCTGCGGAAGCACCAGCAAGGCCACCGCCAATTATAGCAATGCGAATCTGCTTTTTGTCCATTTTCTGCTTCCGGAGACAATTTAACGGCCAAGCTTGTTGAAATCGATCGCTGCAGAAAATTGATGAAGAAATTGGTTGTGTTATTGGGCGGAAATGCTTACGGCTACTTAGAAATAGCTTCTGGGTGACTTAGAAACGTGGAGGTACATATATGTATGTTGGCAGGCACACTCTGTGGTCAATCAATTATATCACAAAATGCACGATCCCAACACATTAGGTACCCAACCGCCAGACACCGCAGGATTGCGTGACATTGACTAAGGTAGGTAGTTGAGGCAGTCCAACAGCTGGTTACGACCCGAAACAACCAACAGGTGGTATTCCTTTGGGGCTGGCTGCGAGTAATATTCAACAGGATGAATAGTCCAAGTCCGCTCGCATACACCTCGAAAGAGGACATGTTCCATTGCTTCGTGTCACCGTGTCTCCAGCACATATTTATAATTATGGGCGCTGTTGTATAGCGACCAACCATTTGCTACAGCTGACGCCAGGGACTCAGCTGGTAGTATCCCTTGCAACATCGGCATGTTCGAGTAGGCCTTACGAAATGGCAACAAACATCTGCCTAGTAGGCACGTACCTAATTCTTAGGTCCTTACCTGACGCTCAAGAACATTAACATAACCCGCCTTACTAATGACCTCCTTACTAGTACTTAATGCGCACAAATATTAGTTGCCTAAGTACCTACCAAGACAACAGCGAAACATAATTGGAAATTATGTCTAGGTCGGAAGCTCGCTGCAGAGCAAGGATTTAGCGTCAGAGTATCCTTGGGATCATGTCTGCAATAGCCAAACTGAGAGGATTATACTAAAGACGTAGGGATGCCGTAGGTCGCTGGAATAAGTAGAGCTATTACTAGGCTGTCACGTGACCAACCTAGCATAGGGGTACGAACGACGTCGTTTCGCGAGCTACATACTTAGGTGTCTACCCAGAGGTCAGCAATACTTATGCACAATATCACGTCTACCCTGACAGTGTTGAACCAATCTCCCAGGTTTTTCCAAGTCCCCAGATTAGCCCGATGGGTTAGTTTCCTGACAGCTCTTGACTCAGACTTTATATGACTGTTCCCCGTCTTGGTAATCATTTTCAATTATTTGTCAGGATAACAGTTTGCCTCGTATGGTATATCTTTAGCTTTCTGATTTGCCCACTAAGTGTCGTACTGAGTACTTTGGCGAACGTCTGATAGGCAATTCAGGATCATTCTAAGTTTCTTATTCAGTCACGGGTGCATCTTGAGTGACAAATATTCCGGTAGTAAGACTTCACTGCACGCGCTACTATGCTCGGGGAAAACACGTAAAAATGAATCCTGAAGGTTTCACCACGTTGCGTATACGGAATAAAAGGATGGCATTAGAATTTATCAATATACCTACACCGGTAGCTGGTATC